CACAGGTTGATAAACCTTTAAAAAAAAATTGCACATGGAGGATATGATTTTTTTTTTTTTGGTTTTATATATATACAGTTGAATAACCCAAAAATCATAAATTACTATATTAGTACCATAGAATTCCACTATAATTTATCAAGCTTAGTAATTAAGCTGTATTTGGGTTTAAAGAAATATGAAATTTCAAACAAACTAAAGACACAACCTACCTCTTTGAAATCTTGGTTTGCAAGAAAAATATGGCATCCAAACATGTTAAAATGGCTTACAAAGCCACTAGGGGGACATTCTAAGCATATGATTGGTTATTCATGTCATGTATAAAAATAAGTGTATATAAGGGAGCATTTCCAAAAATGGAAAGAGGTGGGTGGAGTGCCACTGTATTTGATTTTTTACATGAGTGATATATCAGCAAATTGAAAAGATAAGAGGCTCTTATTTTATATTCTAGCTTGCCAATATTGGTAATTTGAGTTCCTAATTCGTATCGAACTATAGACGTAGTATTTTGACATCACAAATATCTTATTTGAACTATGGCTGCATTCAATCAACATACCATGTGACACACAAAAATCTATGTTTAAATGTGTTTTTTAATATTTACTTTTAAATTAAATAATGTATAATACTAAAATTTAAATTAAAATCTACAGTTTGATACCAAACTTATTGACATAAATTCATGAAATAATAGTTCAATAAAATTTTTAATGCGAGTCGACAAATGCGATGACATGGCCTTTCACCTATGATCCATCTGGAAAGGGTTAATGTATCAATATCTTACATTATGTATGTCCCAGTTTTTTAAATACTTAATTATGTACATGAACGTAAAATTACAATTTTCTTTACACAAATAAAGAATTTAGCTTAAGTGTTGAGATGTGTATACATTTGTCCAAGACTGCAGTGATTATCTTAAACAATATTGAAATAACAAATTCTTGTACTTATGTTAATAAAAAATATAATTAATTGATTCATAAACTGAACTTTTTATAAGCATATGATTTTCACCAAGAATGAAACAAAATGTGGCAAGGATGAAGATAGTCTACACTTCACCAAGTGAAAAACCTGGTAGACCCAATTCTTTTCAGTTGTGTTTGTTGGCAGAGGAAAGTCTCTTCCCACCCAAAAAGCCAGTTCATGTCCAGTAGTAGACCTTTCTTAAAAATACCTGACCCCTTTGGCTGAGTTAGCTCAACAGTTGAATAACTGGCAGGGCATGTGGGTTAGTCATTGGAGCTTGACTTTACCACCAGTCACATCAGATTTATACAGGTATACAGTCGCGGATGGAGTACACACGTCACTAACTTGAGGTAGTTTACAGAGAATAAAGAATTGACTGTGAGACTGAAGTTCCAAAAACACAATCAAAATTTGATATATATATCCACAATGAAGTACAATGTTTTCAGCAAATACTCATTTAGTTTATCAAGCAAATCTTCTATAATTCTGATCAAGTTGCTTATTATATTCAGCAAACTTACAGTTGGAACACCAGAAAGATATATTAAGACATGCTTAAGTTCTAACTTTCTTTCATTATTATATATTAACTACATTACTTGATAACAAGAAATAGTATTCATTACATGCATCAAGGTTGAGATGGCATTTTGGCTTTGTTGCAGGCTTGAGAGCTTGAACATCTTTTCAGACTTTCAACTTCACACTGACAGCGTGGTTAGGAGACTTTTCTTTGGTCCTGTAGAACTGAACTTGCAGCTCCAGACATGAGTTTTTAAATCAAGTTATTTAATATTCTTGTGAGTGTTAAAATAATTTTCGCATTTACCCGCAAGTAGGTCTGACACTTCGTTGGAGAACCTGTGAGCTGCAATGGAATGAAACCTAGCCTGCCACAATTATCTCTAGCTGTCTTTGATTAAGACCTGCTGTGTCCTGTTGAATGATCTGAAGTCCTCAAGCCGTAAAAAATGTCAATGCACAATCAGTAATGAAGCTACAGAATTTTATGACCTAAGATACTTTCCAAAACTCAAATGGCTACTTAAAGCAAAAAGAATACCAAGGGGAACTAGATAATCAAACTACCTGCCAGCAGAGTTCCTAGTGTTGCTGTTCCAGCCAACATATTTAAGTTCACCAGCCCTTGCTGATCTGGATATGTCTGTATGTTTATTCCACATCATTTAGTGCTATGTCACTTGATCTCCTTTTGTTGCCATTGTGGATATATACATATTTTTTTTAAATTTTTGCATTCTTCCTGATATTTTGGTAATTATATTGAGTAGCTAAATATGTTTTATTTTCTGTAAAATGTAACTCCCATACTTCTCTGCCATCTGGTAGGAGTTTTTGGTCTCACTTTTTTTTCTTCATCAAGTCCAATTGTTATCACAATATTTCTCTGTTGCTGTCAGGGTCTAACTGAAGAATAATCTTCAAGCTGATATGGATGAAACTTAGTCTAACCACCATTTTATCTTCATCATGTGGCTGTATCTTCCATTGCTTGATATCAACTACATTTATACTTTATACTTGAATATATGTTTTGTATTAAACTGGACTTGAGCTTGAGATCAAGTATATAGTCACTTGCTAGTCTTTTTTTCGATGAGATTAGCACTATATAAATTGTTTCTTTATCTTTTGGACCAACTCCTGCCTCTGCAACAGCACTGTTTTGTAATGTTGTCATCCCTTTCCTTGCAGATTCTCATTCAGAGTGAGGTATGTAAACCTAAGTTGGAGCCTTCTGTGGTGTGCTTGATGCATGTTGTATGTATGAAAAGGTTTCAGTGTTGTAATATAATTTTCTTTACCCAGTGGCTGAGCAGTGAGCTCAATATTTGTATTACTAATGTATAATTATGTGGACTATTTTTCTCATCTTTATTATTATTATGTGTATTGTTATTTTCACAACGTTTCAACCAGTGAGTTCTGCAGCCATTGTCAGGTGTTATATCAGTAAGCCAAGTGTAGACATAAGTGTGTTATGACTCCTAGTATTATGAAAAAATTGGGACAAAAATTACTGAGGATATATTGTTGTGTAGTGATGTTTGTTATATTTTTTGCATTCTTCTTCCTGTTTTTATTCACAGTTGAAATTCTAGTAAAAGATAAAATTATATTTAAAATTCACTTTTTGTATTAAGATGATTTTTTGAATCATGGCCCACTTGTCATTTGAGTGAAGATTCACTTACTGAGCATGTCTTGTTATTGGTAGTGTTTGTGGAGGAACCAGATTGCCTACTAAGTTAATGGCAAAAAATAAGGTAATATCATAATAATTCAGATACTCCACAGAAGATCCAGAATCGTTAAAAAGTATGTTATTCATCTTTATGTACATTTTGTTTGTTTTAAAAGCCATAGAAATTTGACCTGCTTGTATTTTTTCGAGCAACATGATGCAAGAGATAAGTACTTACAACACACCTTACTTTAATCAAGCCCCCAGTGGCTCAGCAGTAAGTATGAAGGCTTATAACATTAAAATCTTGGTTTTAATACCCATGTTGAGCACTGCATAGGTAGCTCACTGCTTTGCTTTATGCTTATCAATAAACAAATAGATTTTAATCCACCACAAATTAGCTCTTTCTTTAAGGAAACAAACTATTAAAAGTATTCTTAATAAGACTGTATGATTGTGTTGTCTTTAAAGAAATACTTTTCAAACAAAATAACAGTTTTTTGATAGACTGTCAATAAAAAAACTTTAAAAACAGTAAAAGTTACACCATTTGTCTAAAGTATTGTTACAACCATAAATAACCATGGTAGTCTTGTTGAAATAATAAGTTGTCCCATTTAGCTATGAGTTTTAAATATTATATGATGAAAATTGCTTTTTTTGCTTCTTAAACTGGATGAAAATGTAAAACATTGCTAATATTTCAAATACATGTAATTGGCTCATTCAGTGCAATTCTTTTGATATGATAGCTCTGGTGATAGATTCTGTGCATAGAGTATTTGCACTAAGTTAGATTGCAATTAGTATACAGTGTGGTTGATCTGGTACAATATATGTATGCATAATGATTGCATGATCTGTGTTTTTCATTCAAACTGTTTAAAGCAAAGTTTTACAGAAAATGTTATATTAAACTGCTCCACTTTATAAACACTGTTACAGAAGTTTGAAAGGTACCAGTTTACTTGTTTTAAACTTATTTCTCATGCATGCAACATTCTAGATAATTTTTATTTATATCCAAAATCCTTTTGCAGTTATGAGCAGATGATACTTGAATAATGTTTATAGGCTTATTGTATGCTTTACACATTATTCAAAATTTTTTGCTCACTGTGAACTATTTTAGCTTACATCTTTGAGAAAAAACTAAGCAGAATAAGTTGAGATTGCCTCACAGAATTTTTAATATTTCCTGATGCAAACTAAATATTCAAATATTATTAGGCTTTCTAACTGTGACTGGTTTTTGTTCTCAGTATCCAAGAAGTGCTTTAGTTTTTTGTTATTTCAATACCATATTCTTGTTTCTTTGTTATATAGAAAGATTACATAATTTTTTTCTGACCTTTATTACAGTGTTTTTAGTGGTTATGCATATTAGAAAACTGAAAAAGCATACTTACATTTCAGGAGTTTCTGGTTCAGTGTGACAAAACACTGTTCTGGCAAAGTGAAGCCATTGTTTCTACTGTTGGGGTTTCTCTTGCACATCCTCTATCCTTGGTAATGGAGTACCTTCCTCTTGGTCCACTTGACAAGTATCTTCAATCATCAAAATCAACTTTAAAACAAGTAGACTTAGTAGAAGCTACTATTCATGTAGCCAAAGCATTGTGGTACTTGGTAAGATAAATATATTGTTCAGTGGTTTTTCATGTTGTTTTATTTAATTAATAAAGTGACAATAAAATTTCTACTTCATATGTGAAATGTATAATTCAAGGTTGAACAGCAGAACATAGTATTGATAATACTAAATGTTTTCTTGGTACTTAACAGGTTTTTAATTCTATTAAGGAAAAAAAAATATTTTTTTTTACCCAGAAAACTAACATATGATTCTGTTCTGTTCATAACAGGGAAAACTTGTAATTAGTGAAAGGCACTACAACAATTAACTTGAGTACTTCATTGTTTTTGTTAAATTAGTTCTGAAGTGTTTTATACAGTTGAATGTATCTCTGAATTTTTTCATTTAAACATTCACATTTTATGTTGCATTATTTGGTAGATTTCATTTTTCAGAGGTAGAATAGAAACTTCATGAGTTAACCTCAAGAAGTTAAAAGCTGTTTTACTTGTATATTTACTCTGTCCTTTTATTTCCTCATTTACTAAGAGTTATAGGCGAGTGTCAAATCCCTAAAAAACGGCTCTTATTTTTGAGTTTAACTACCCCATCACAAAACAATCTTAGACATAGTTCAAATGAAAGATCACCATCCAAGCATCATGTTTTGCTCTGTTGTCTTTAGTTATCTATGTTTTAAAGGCCCAAACATTCTTTGGGAACAACGCTAATCCGGGACTTATAGTAACTGCATTGGTAATATATCTCTACACATATTATTGTGCATCATTTTATGATTGCATGATTATTATTTAATGAAAACATCTTTTTTTAGACCACTTTTAACATAAAACTGAATATGCAGCATCTTATATTTGCAAACAGTGCTATCTTTAAGATTTCTATGGATGAATTGTTTAGCAATTTGTACAAATATTTGCCTTTATTATTTGATACACAACTCATTTACAACTTTCAGGCAATTAAGAACAAAAACAGACTCATTTCTAATATCTTAAACTAATATTCACTGAAATAGTTGGTATTACTTGCAAACATATATGTCTTATCATCCATTCTGTTCTGCAAAGAAGTATATGTTAAATTTTGTATTAAAGAAATATCACAGACAAAGAACATCATCTTGTCACAGCCTTATTTTTGCACCTTGAAATGCTATTTAGCACTTAGACTACCTAAAAACAATGAATTTTACAACTACTAAGAGTAACACGAGTAACAGTTATATGTGAAAATACAAACAAAATTGGTTTTTCATCATTAGAGTAATGCCATCACAAACATAAATAAAGCATTGTCAGTTTTTATTTTAGCCTTTAGTGAACATTGCAAGGAAGTTTTAACTATAAGATTTTTTACTTGATGCATTAGTGACATTAATCTTGCACTTCTCTTAACATTGTCCATCCTTGTTCCCACCAATAGCTATTGACTGATGAGATAGTTCATTACCACACTACTCTGAATATTTATAGATGCATTCTTTTGTGCATTCCATCCCATTCTTCAAATGGGTACAGATATTTGTATATGGTGAATGGCCTGTGCATGAACACAGCAGCTCTTCAAGTATCTCAGATTCTCTCTGGCCCTCAAAAAATTTGGACTTTCATTCATTTCCTTTCTTATACCAGCTATTATTTTCTAGCTGCCATTTTCCCCCTTCCTTAACATTAATTTTTGAAGATTTTAATGAATCATGCATAGAGAAAGGTTTTTGTATTAAAGAGTAATTTTGAATTTCTGTTGTTATGATAAACTGGCCAGTAAACTGTATATGTTCACCACAAATTTTTATTGTTGTTTGTGCTTTGCTATAAGATATTTTCATTTGTGTTTTTTGAAGTTGGACTAATATTTTTATTGACTTGAACTTCAGAAACTTCATCTGGCAAATTGAACTTCTTGTTTGACTTTGCAGTAGCATTATCAGTGTTTTTCAGAAACATTATCATCACTCCTTGTAGTTTTTTTCATTCCTCTTCCATCTTCCTCATCTTTTTTGTTTGTATTGTGTGTGCCTGATTTGCTCATTATCAATATCTGTACAGGTAGTAGAATTTTGATATTATGAAATAAAAATTACAAAATAATTATAAAGTGGACTACTTACCAATTGGATTTTAAAAAACACAGAACATTGACCTTTTATCATCTGTGGTATGGTATTTCACCAGCAACAGCAATGATATAGTACAGTGCTTAACTTTTCTGTCTTTATTTTTAATGTTTATTTTAAGGAAGAAACTTCAGTGATCTTGAAGAGGGACTATCAACCATTGTTCATATTCACACAAATGTTAATAAACAATCACCCACTGTCTACTACTACATGTAATGCCCATAACCCTTTCCTGATGAGTCACGGGTGAAAGGCCATGTCATCTCGTTTGTTGACTCGCATTCAAAATGTTAATGAACTACTATTTCATGAACTTATGTAACTGAGTTTGGTATCAAACTGTAGATTATAATTAAAATTTTATTATTATACATTACTCAATTTCTTAATTTAAAAACAAATATTAAAAAACACAGATAAACATCGATTTTTGTGAAACATGGTATGTTGAATGCCGCACTAGCTCAAATTAGATGTTTGTGCAGTCAAAATACTAAGTTTATAGTTTTGAGCAAATTAGAAACTCAAATTACTGATATTGACAAGCTATAATATAAAATAAAAGCCTCTTATTTTTTCAATTTGCTAAAATATTGCTCATTTTACAAATCAAACACAGTGGCACCCCACCTACCTTTTACCATTTTTGGAAATGCTCCCTTAT